GTTTTAGTTGTTTAAATAAAGCTTAATTTCTAGAAGCTTATTCTAGAATATGTGGTAGGTATGAAATTATTGTGTGGTAGGTGTGGTAGGTGTTGAATTATTGTGTGGTAGGGGTGGAATTATTTGTAACCATTGGATTGGAATTGTGGTGGCACAATCCTAGCCATTGATTTAGGAGGTGCCACTAGTATAAATAGGGGTGGAGTCTTTGAGTCTGTATCAAGTCAAGTAAAGGTGATAAATACGAGTGAAGCTTCTTCCATAAGTTATTTTTTTTTTTAGCCTTTGTCATTTCCTAAAATCTTCTCCATTCCAACAAATACGTATACTTGCGTAGTATCTCATAATTAAATACTATAACATTATTCTTATTTGCTTCATAGTGAAAAATTTACCTAGCTTTTGCTTGGGATCAAGTCTTTGGTTTTGTTGAAAAGTAAGAATCAATATTAAGGAAATTAAGCATACAATCGCATATATCGCATTTAACATCTATATATAACATCAGGATCACACGCTAGAACAAAGCACGTCGAAATCACTCTTCGTATTCTACATGATCCTCAAAAGGAATTATACTCTCCATCATGTTATCTCACCGGACCAACCCACTGACATCTTCACCAAGTGCCTTCCAGCAACTCTACTCCTTAAATTACGTGACAAACTCACACTCTTTCCATAGAATTGTTCATCTGAGTAGAGGTAACAACCTGTGTTCCTCCATACACAATGCCCTGTGTTCCTCCATACACCATGATGGCATCACTCTTCCCGAGCCAGTAAAGTACCTGTGATCCGCTTCTCCAACTGTCTTTCTCTAAACTCTTCCGCTGTCATCCTCTCAAGATACATATATCTGTAAACACAGTTGAGTTTAATGAATTAGCACAATTTATACATATTAATAAAACCTTTTTGGTTCTATCCCTGATTCATTTCCGCAACCACCAATCTATTAGATCTGCTTCATAAATGCCTTCTAGGAGCACTATAACAACGTCAATAACCGTATATAATCCTTGAATTAAGGAAATAAAATTATTTTAACTGCTCCTGATCTCTTGATTTTTTTCTTTTTTTAATTTTTTTTAAAGCTTTTTTTTTTCACAATTTTGTTGTAAGAGTGTGTGTGAAATTTTTGTGCAACACTTGCTAAGATAATAAACTCGAGTCATCAAGAAGAAAACTCAAGCACACAGCAGTTTGATATCTTCAGTAGAGATATTTTCTCATTTGCCAATAAGCAACTGTGGCAGTTGATAATGGTCAGCACGTTGGTTCACTCTCCAATCAATAGGACAAATTATTTCATTTCATTGCAAAAATGCCATCACATTTTTGACGAGAAGCAAGAAGTTGGCACTAAAAGAAAACATTAATTGTTGTATTAAAAGTGTCTTCAAGCTAACATCCCAAATAAGATTTTAGTTGGAGAACTCCATTCTTTCACCAAATGACATATCAAAAAGCCTCATTTAGCCCAAATTATTGTAAAAATGCTAAAATAAATATTGTTTCTTATAATAACTATTATGAACCACGAAGTTGGCTTTAGATTCAATTAAAGGTAGAATTTTGAAAGAATATCATACAAATCTCAAATTCAATATGACTTTTCTTTAGGTAGGAGAAATTTCATCGAAATTTTCTGGAAGAATTATTTCTTACTGTGATCTCCAAGCAGATTTTGCTTGAGGAATATTTTGAAATATCTTTTATTTTTTATATACAGAGAAATAGGAGTATTCTTCAAACATTTAATTAGACTTCTTTGTTTAGGATGAGAATACGTCAATTTCAGTTGAAAAGCTTTTTAGGGCTTTTGTTGATCTATTAAACTTCGTTAAATGCTACACATATTACCTTTAGAAGGAAAATTTACATACATATCACACAATTCTATGTATTTACATATCTAGCACCTAGCCCTTGATATTTACATTTATATCACCAGGGGTGTATTTCACTCTTAAAAAGTTTGAATAGTTGTATTTTTCCTGTGATGCATGTCACCGATTTTAGTATTATGTAAGTAAATGTACCAGAAAATACACAGAATAAACCCAGTAACTAACCGTAAAAATGTTTCAGTAGCTCAGTTATTTCTACTGATCATATATTTACTTCTATTGACAAAAGAAATATGTGAATAATGAAAGATATTTATTTCTTAAAAGTCTGATATATTTTTAATTTCTGTGGAGAAAAGTAGAAATAAGAAAATTTAAATATAAATAATTGGAAGAAATCCAAAGTTCCTTGAGAAAACAAAATTTAGAGAAAACAAATATATATATATATATAAATATATATACAGACACACACACATGTAATTGCATCAGGAGTGGCTAAATGACTTCTTTGTGTCATATATTTTAAATATTTAATGATAATTTTCGTCTATGAATTATGCGTTCAAATTGTCCTATAATTTCATTCATCCCTCATCTGGAGTGAGTATCTCCTACTTTTTAAAAAAAATATTCTCTGAATTAATTGGCAATAAAAATAACACGCTCAATTTCCTCCTGATAATAAATCGACCAATTTTCTGTTTGTTTATTTAATTTACATGTAATATTTAGCTGAAAGATTTGATTCATTCAAGTTCTTAATGGCAGATTAAAAAATCTAAATATCGAAATACATATTTTTTATCTTGGAATATTTTAACTGTATTAAACTACAGTAGTTGACATTTTAATTTTAAATCCATCAAAAAATCATTTTCTTAGATTAATCTGAATCTTCTTTGTTAATATTTTGCCACTAGTTTATTCCAGACTAAATACAGAAAAAAGAAATTTCTCTTATTTTTTTCCTTCATTTACAATAGCTGAAATGAAGTGGCCACCGGCGCCTAAGCGGTGGTTATGTAGAAAATTGTAGAAGTACAGTGCATCAGAATATGCGATTTTTTATTTTTACATGATCCAAAAAATTTGGGTGGTATATATTTTAAATAAGAATTACGTGCTACTAATGTAAATCTTCGTAATTTTCATAAATTGATGTGACGCGTTGAGTAAATTTCTTGTCAAATTTATAACGATAATTGTAAATGAATCCCTTCCAAGTTGTACCCAGCCTCACCCTTCTTCCATCTTTGCACCCTTAATTCTCAGCATGAAGCAAGCAACATGAGAGAGAGAGAGAGAGAGAGAGAGAGAGAGAGAGAGAGAGCCCGCTTGGCAAAGAAAGCTAGCAAAGCGAACACCACCCCAGTTGAAATTATCGCACAGATATTGATCAATTAATACCCTTCACGATCAACCAGACGGCTGGCGTGCACGCGAGCACTCGCGCAGAAATGGATCCTGCCCGAAGATGTAGCAGCAGCAGCGGCAGAGGCCTCACTCCCACTCCCACAGCCTCCCCAACACCCGTCGACTCCCCAAACCAACCCCCCACAATATCTCTAACTCCTGTACTTTCATCACCGGCCCAAACCATATCTTCTCTTCCTCCTCCCGACCAGCATCAAGCACTATCCCGCTACGAATCACAAAAACGTCGAGACTGGAACACATTCCTCCACTACCTTCAGAACCACAAACCTCCTCTCAGTCTCCCCCGCTGCAGCGGAGCCCACGTCATCGAATTCCTCCGCTATCTTGACCAATTCGGAAAGACCAAAGTGCACTCCATCGGCTGCTCTTTCTACGGCCATCCATGCGCGCCTGGCCCCTGCGATTGCCCTCTCCGCCAGGCTTGGGGCTCTCTCGACGCACTTATTGGCCGTCTCCGCGCCGCATATGATGAATCCGGAGGCATCCCCGAAGCCAATCCCTTTGCCACCCGTGCCGTGCGTTTCTACCTACGCGACGTTCGCGACTCGCAGGCCAAGGCGCGCGGCATATCTTTTCATAAGAAGAAGAGGAAACGCGCGCCGACGGCAGAGTCTTCTTCTTCTGGTGCTGGGTGCAATGAGGCTGAAGGATCCACTAGCGCTGGCGGCGGGGAAGCGGGTGGGAGCTCATCTTCGTCTGCTTCCTGATCAGTAAGTCTTCATTTTGTTCGTTTCGATTTTCTTTTTTTTTTTTCTTTTCTTTTATGAAGTTTTAAGAGAATTATGTTTATGTACTGATTCTGTTCAACTTATAATTATAATTATCTATTGTTCCTTATGATCGAACAACAATATTTATTTTTCTCTCCTCCTCTATCTGTTAGCCTTCTTAACTTAACTTTGGATCTCAATTTCTATATCTATTGTTTGGTTAATTGAAAAAACATAATGAACAAAAAATGAGGCTGAATTTCTGGACGAATGACATGGAATGAGTGATTTTTGTAAGATTTGCAGTTTTGATTTTTTTTGGTTTTTTTGAAAGCTAAAAAAATTCATGTGAGAGAAAATATTAGATAAAAAATTTTCCTTTTTTTTTTCTTTTTATGGAGACTTTGTTTATAACTATAGATTGTTGCGTCTAAAGCAGATTGGTGTTTTTGCCTACAGTTAACTCCGCACTACATTATTCAGATTTATATGCGATCATATATTTGCTTGGTCATTTAAAAGCATCTATGACATAATCAATGATCCAACATTCCTCACGAATATCAACATGCTGGTGCAGACCGCTGTGCACAAAATGAATTATAAGAATTTGGTCATATCTTTTTAAATATTATGATTAAACTATTATCGTATATTTAGTTATTTCTCAAGTAAAGTTTGGTATTTTATTAATATTACTCTTTGCTATAGATGTTTTGTTTTTCTTCGACTATGACCAACAGTTTTCCACAGAGAGGAACACTGCTGTATTATATGGAATGGATTAATTTAGTTTCGATACTAATTAAATTCTGTAGCTTGCTTTGTCCCCCGACGAACTGTAGTATTTCAGGAGATGGAACTAAGTTGGACATTCTCTTCATCATGTACCTAGATCATTTTGGTTCTTTTGGACTTCCATTGAACGAGTTTGAAAGAGAGGGGGGGGCGAAGGAATTGAATTAAAATCAGCTTTCACTAAATTTTGTAGTCGAGGAAAATAGGCTCTTGTTTTTTTTAATTGAAGAGAAGTCAAGTTTTTGGTCATTGTGAGTTTCTTATGTGATATAGTTTAGTTCTTCATTTACAGAAGTTGGATGGGGACATGCAATATTCGTTAACATTTTCTATATATATTATAATGAAGTTAGAATTTATAATGATCTACTGTCTGAGCTAGAGCTCCTTACTGTCAGATTTTATTTTTTAAACTGGCCATAAATAATATTTTTTAAACTAACCCAAAATTACATTGTGAATTTACCGATTTTACAACCTATAATACCAATAAAAAAAATTTGCTTGTTTTATCACCAAATATAATGTGGATAGTAACTTCTTCATGTTAACTGACAAACTAAAACTAAACCTCAATCACCAGTTTATTTCAGTTGGATTGAGCCCATAAGCTGATAAGCTAGGCAAAGTTTGATTTAAGGGAATTGATACAGTGTAGCTGAATGAAAATGAATAGGTAAGTACTATTAATCTGAAAGAATTGGAGCAAACGCAAAAGCGTCTTTCATAATTATCTATTTTCTATTTGACTCGAATATAATAAATAAAAATTTATATTTATTTAAACAATTTCACCCCTCAACAAATATATTTTGTATTAATGATTGTCTGCCCAATAGAAAGAAGCTCATTCGGTTTCTCCTCTATATCAAATAAGTGGAGGAAGAAAAAGTAAATAAGTTGGTTTTGATTCATTTATTTGACTAAAAAAAATTAATTTTCTCTTGCCTTCGAATTGAAGACGTAATCAATAAATTGTTTATTGCAATTACTCACGATTTTATTTTATCTTAATTTTTTCCTTTAGGAGTTCAGAAAAATATAAATCATTGGGAGAAAGACAAAAATGTTCAATGTTTTTAAATAAAATCAGTTCATTATGAATTACATTAAAAGCATCCTATCATGGCAAAGTGGTTAACAAATTTAAATAATTATAATTTCAGGTGAGCGAAAATTAATAAATCACTCTAAAATTTTTGGGAGAATGATGCGAAAATTCTATACTATATATATAAGAGAAATTTACATAGGAAGCACCCAATTCTTATGTATTTTCTTGTCTCACACCTATACTTTGATTTTTACAAAGTAAGCACATTTTCCTATTTTTGAAAAGATGTATGAAAAGTTGTATAACACTTTTTCCTCCAGATAGGGTGCTTAGCTTGTAAAATATAAAGTTTTGGTGTGAGATAAATAAATGCATAAGAATTGGGTGCTTCCAATGTAAAAATCTCTACAAATAATTGCAGAAAATTAGAAAAAAAAACCATGGTATTCATAATTACATAGAATTGTCATCTTATTTTGGCCATGTCATCATGCAGATTATGGAGTCGAGAACCTTCTGAACGAGGCATAAATTAATGATTAAAAATTCTCTTAAAATAAAATAAAATAAAAACTACAAATTGGTGATATAACTGTACTTGTAAATATTAATTATTTCTTTCCTCATATGTTCCTCCAAACCTAACATAAACTTTACTCTTTCTGCTAGAAGTTGTCTGACCACTGCAAGTGTGTACGAAAAGCCAGACCATCAGCTTCCAACTGAGCTTACAATCTCACGAACTGGTAGAGTTCACGCCTGTGCAACTTCCTTTCTTCGTCTTCAATCATATTAACTTCTGTCAGCCCTGTCTGCTATAAATAAACCAATAGCTAATCTTACACTCCAAAAGAAGTCTTTCAAGTTTCTTCATCATCCTCTACATTCAAGACTGGAGCTGCGCTTTGGAAGCTATCGTCGTGCAACTGCCCGATGTGAAACGCGGATGGCTGAGATTTCGCCTCATTAGACGTTGCAGAATCAGCATTATTTTGACTGAGTTTGATCATGACCGTCCAATATGAATCAGATGGCAACTGTAAAACTTATCTCATTGCACCATCCTTCTCATCTTTCTCCTTCTCCTTCTGCTACTTTCAGTGAATTATTATCTTATTATGGCCAGCGTCACTTATTTATTAATAACTCTTTAGAGAGCATCATGTTTTTTACTTGGGGAATTTACGTTTAAAACAACACAATTCTTATAAACTTTTATGTCCAAAACATAAAAGTTTGATATTTCTGCCTATTCCACTTTGATCTCACAAATCTATGCATAAGTAGCTATATTTTTCTTTTAAGAAATTAATAAATAATGATAATGCCTGGTTGACATATTTTATGATTTAACATTAATCTTAATGCATTTTTAAGAACAAAGACGTACATATTCAATTTAAAAATCAAATAAAATTTTCATTTCAACAAATTACTAGTTAAACTGACCTTCTCGACACGAAAAAACCAAATGATACAAAATTTTTCCCATTCCGAATCAAATCAAGCCCCGATCAAACTGTTAAACTATTTTTTGAAAGTTTAGGAGTTCAGCTTAAAAGTCAAATGAACTCCAATTTTATGTATCTATAGTGAAATCAAGCCTTTCAATGAGAGGAATTCAACAAGTCTAAGCTCCTTTACTTTTGAGGTCATTAAAGCCCTCAAATCATCAAAAAATCTATCATGATTAAGGGAAACCAACATGGGTCATTCGATTAGGCGGTTATAGTGGTTATTCGTCAAAGGATGAAAATATCCATCTATGGTCAATAAATAGACCCCCTCTCTTAACTTGAATAAGGGAGGACGAAAGGAAAAAAAGAAGCTGATTTCTAGTGTTGTTTTGTATTGAAGAACCGTAGATAACTCACAACCTCTGTAATTGTTGATTGTTGCTTACTGATCGCAGATCATCATTAGCCATCACTGGTTTTCCTTGCTTGTCTTGGTTCATGTACTTTATGAAGTAATGAAGTATACTACGGAGTAGATACCCACTTTACGAAGTAATGAAGTACCCTGTAGGGTAAGGACCCACATTATGGAGTAATGAAATATCCTATGTAAAGAAAGATATATTACAGAGTAACAAACATATCACATATTACAAAGTAGCGAATTATCCTGCGGAATTACAACACACATTGTGGAGTAATGAAGTACTCTATTCAATGACAAAGTCTCTTTTATGCAAAGTATGCAGTGTTCGAAATACTGTAAAACAAAGTATCCCAAATGCAGTGTAACAAGTAACCTAAAAATTGTTCAATGAAGTGCCCTAAGTACTATGCAATGAGGTATCCTGAACACGACATATTGAATATCTGATGATAACTCCTGATGACAACTAACTATAACCACAATATTCAAAATACAAGGACTTTCTCCACAATCCTAAATTTTGATCCTTACGGCATATATGGACAAGTGATGTCTTTTGTGTAAAATAGTAAACAAGTGAGAAGGTTTGTAGTTGTCAATTAGTGTAACACCTATTACGACCATGGTGGACAATTGATGTTATGGTAGGTAACCACTTGGTGCTCTTACGTGGCTAGCTGTTGTCGTTACAGCCTTCCACTATAGCATATGTGGTGAACTGACACTCCTATAACGACACACTACAGTCTATGTGGTTAGTTATTGTTGTAGCTACCCATTATGGCTTACACGAACACTACTGCAGCTTCCCACAATGGTCTTTCTTGGCAACTAATGTTGCTGCAGCTACCAACCACTTCCTATGCGATCGATTATAACTATGTAGTCAACTGCTACTACACTTTTTAACTATGGCCTCTGCAGACAACTATCATTATTGGATTCTCTAATTATGGCCTTCAAGGACAAATGATACCATTGCAACCTTCGAATATAGCCTTTATAATTGACTTCTGCTTTTGTAGCAACCAATCACCAAGAACTACATTATTATAGACCCAACATTACTATTAAAGCTGGATGACTAAAGTACAGTTGTAATTATCAACATTGCCATTCTATTTTCTTTAATTTAAGAGAAGTTTAGACCCATGTACTTACAATGATATAGTGTGTTACTTTAACTGAGTTGGACCCTGTGATTATTTCCTTGTTAGGGTTTCTCCACATGAAAAAATTTTGTGGCTCCTCCTTTTCAATTAGTTTGTTGGTTCAATTTTGGCATAATGAAATATGTTGAATTATCTCTCTTCTGTTTCGAATGTTTTAGCATGCAATAAATGATACATTTATGTGATATCAAAGATTTGAATTTTACAAACGTGAATATGATACTTTGAGTGTAATATATATAAATACAAAAGATTTAGGTAGTATTTATGTAAATATCCTATTTAAATTAAAGATTATTCTATTATATTTTAAATTAAAATGAGATTAATTTATAAAATATATTTTCTACTTCACATGTAATGTGTTATCGCATTATACTTGATAAAACTTTTGCAATAATTTGATTGTATTTATCTTTCAAGTTTAATTGTAACACTTCATAGATTAATTGTATTGATGGTTAGCAAGTGCATCATTAAATAAAACGTATCAGAAATTTCTGACATTTCTTTTTCTCAATTTATTCTTTCCAAAAAGTATGTAATTTAGCTAATGTTATTATCAAAATTATCATTTCAATGCTTTTAGCTTGGTTCAGATTATTTGAATATTTTTATTCCCAATAATTTGTTAAATTACTAAGCAATTAGTTGTCACGTGAATTTATCAATATATATAAAAAGCTTTAAATTCAAGCTTTAAAAATAAAATCATATAGTCACAAATTGAGGTTATTTTCTCAAATAAATTGAAATGCACTTCGAGTCAAGGCAAAGGATTTTGATTAAAAGCCACAAAAAATCATAAAATAAACGTTCGATCACAAATTTTAATTCCCATAGCTTATGTATTTCAATATGACCTTATTACTACATATTTACAAATAGAAGAGAAATTGGTTAGATCAAAACTGTTTAAATGATTTATGATCTGTTTTTTTTTTTTTTTTTTTTGGGGGGGCGAAAATTAATATAACTATTATGGATTTTTTTGTTTCTTAGAGGAAATTTGGACATTAATTAGTTTGTCGATAATTCAATGAAAATAAAACAAGTATGAGTTAAAATTATATCTTTCCGACTAGGGGTGTAAACGAGCCGAACACGACCGAGCTTTATATTTCGAGCTCAAAAAGTGTGTTCGTGTTCGGCTCGTTTACTTAACGAGTCGAACACGAGCTGTTCACGAACAAAGA